GAGCCAGAGGTAGCATTTAAATAAACAGAGCAGAGGAGATGTGTGGAAAAGAATCAAATGCATATCCCTCTGGTGGATGGATCAAGAATGTGAGAAGGGGGCTGGAGAGATGGTTCAGTGGTTAAGAGCACTGACTGCTATTGCAGAGGTCCTGGGTTCGATTCCCAGCACCCACATGGCAGCTAACAACTGTCCATGACTCTAGTTCCAGGGGATCCGACACCCTCTTCTGACCTCCACAGGCATTGCACCACACGGGTATACATACACGGGTATACAGGGAATACACTTACACACATAAAGTAAAAATAATAAATTTTAAAAAAAAAAGAGCTGGGTGTGGTGGCAAACGTCTTTAATCCCAGCACTCGGGAGGCAGAGGCAGGCGGATCTCTGTGAGTTCAAGGCCCTCCTGGTCTACAAAGTGAGTTTCAGGCCAGCTGGGGCTACAGGAAGACCCTGTCTGAAAAAGGCAAAAAAAAAGGAATGTGAGACAGTCCAAGTAGTATAAAGGCCGCTCTTCCAGCACCCACACTTGGTTATGCTGACCCTCCTTCTGAGTGCCTTTTTCTCCTCACCCTCCCGATTAAGAGTACATTAAAATACACTTAATAATGCAGGAAAAAAAAAAAAAAAAAAAAAAAAAAAAAAAAAAAAAAAAAAAGATAAACTGCACAAGCCAAGCATTCGGGAACACACCTGCAATCCCAGTATTTGGGAGATGGAGGCAGGAGGATCAGGAGTTCAAGGCCAGCCTTGGCTCCATGAAATCCTGTCTCAAAAAGCAAACTTCCTGTATAACTAACTATCTTGTAAGAATTACTGCTATTAATATTTATGGGTATAAACACATATGTGAATCTCTGTGTGTGAAGAAGGGAGATATATGAATTTTTATAATTCAACTTGTAAGTCTCTATTTCCCTCCACCCCTTAGAAGGATCCAGATCTCTCTTTGGAGGCCTAGTATTCGGGGCTCCCCAGGGCCCAGAGCTTCTCTCCTGTGCTTGAGGTGGCAGAGCATGGCACCAGCACCTGTGAGCTGCCCTCCGTCCCTTGTGCTGCCTTTGTGTGGGATGCCCTGAGGTGCACGGAGTACACCGTTGTGAGCGTCCATGGTGACTTGCCTGCACCTCTGGCCTCACACCTGTCTCGAGTGGACAAGCCCCTTTGCAGAGCTACACAGGCATCTTCACAGGGCAGCCGGCTCCCCCAGTGCCATCAGCTGAGACTGAGGCAGACATAGCAAGGCACTGTCATTTCCTATGTGACACCCAGGCCAGTGTCCCAAGAAGGGAGGCCCAGGGCCTCAGCATCCCCCAGCCATCTTGAGGCCGCTCCTAACATCTGTGGGTGCTGGCTGGAGTGGGATCTGCTTTCAGGAGAGGCCCGTCCCCATCGTTCAGGCTCCTAACATCTGTGGGTGCTGGCTGGAGTGGGATCTGCTTTCAGGAGAGGCCCGTCCCCATCGTTCAGGCTCTGGTGAGGCACTGGCAGCATCAGAGGGTAGACAGAGGGAGCCCTAAGCAAGGTGCAGAGGAACGTGAGGGTGGAACAGCATGGTACCTGGAGATGCAGGAGTTCAAGGAGGCAGTGCTGAGCTGGCCATGGGGCTCCTCAGCTGGGCCCACATATTGCTGTGGGAACTGAGGCCCACTCAGGTGGACAGGTGGGTTCCCTGCCTATGGGGACTGACCATCACAGGTATATGGGCTCACCCCTTTTCTCTTCCTGCTGCCACACCTGGAGCCCTTATCTGTTCTCATCACCTCTGAGCTGCTGTGTCCTCCCTGGGCAGCACTTTGCCTTTCCAACTGGGCCCACAGCCTGGCCACCCGAACCAAGAAAAAGCACAACAAAACCCTTGAGCCAGTTACTAATGAGACTCAACTGGCCACATACCTCATGTGTACGTGTACACATACACACACATAGGTGAGTGCAGAGGTCCAAGAAGCCCCTGGTGTGAGTCTTCCCCTGTGCCATAGACCTGGAGCCCTAAGACACCTACTTTCAGTGGGGCTGGGGTTAAATTCACAGCTCAGCTTCCCTGCAGATGCTTGGGGCTGAGGCTGAAGAGGGAGAGCCTCCTCCAGCTCAGAGGGTGGTCCATAAGCCAGCCCAGATCCCCACTGGGGACTCAGGGCTCCTCCCAGCCTCTCTGGACCTCAGAAGCAGGCTACCATGTCTGCAGAGGATATCACAGGCTACACACACAGGACATCTTAAACAGGAATCTCTGATGGACAGGGCACAGGAAAACACAGGGCATTTTAAACAGGAACCTCTGATGGACAGGGCACAGGATCACACAGGGCATCTTAAACAGGAACCGCTGATGGACAGGCCACAGGAAAACACAGGGCATCTTAAACAGGAACCTCTGATGGACAGGGCACAGGAAAACACAGGGCATCTTAAACAGGAACCTCTGATGGACAGGGCACAGGATCACACAGGGCATCTTAAACAGGAGCCTCTGATGGACAGGGCACAGGAAAACACAGGGCATCTTAAACGAACCTCTGATGGACAGGGCACAGGATCACACAGGGCATCTTAAACAGGAGCCTCTGATGGACAGGGCACAGGATCACACAGGGCAGCTTAAACAGGAACCTCTGATGGACAGGACACAGGATCACACAGGGCATCTTAAACAAGAGCCTCTGATGGACAGGGCACAGGAAAACACAGGGCATCGTAAACAGGAGCCTCTCATGGACAGGGCACAGGATCGGACAGGGCACAGGATCACACAGGGCAGCTTAAACAGGAACCTCTGATGGACAGGACACAGGATCACACAGGGCATCTTAAACAAGAGCCTCTGATGGACAGGGCACAGGAAAACACAGGGCATCTTAAACAGGAACCTCTCATGGACAGGGCACAGGATCGGACAGGGCACAGGATCACACAGGGCATCTTAAACAGGAGCCTCTGATGGACAGGGCACAGGATCACACAGGGCATCTTAAACAGGAACCTCTGATGGACAGGGCACAGGATCACACAGGGCATCTTAAACAGGAACCTCTGATGGACAGGCCACAGGAAAACACAGGGCATCTTA